TGGTAAGGGGCGTAACATTTCCGTCACACGCTTGAGGTATTCGGCCAATCACAACGCACAATCACAATGCTCTATGCCCCGCCTTTCTGAAACACGATGATTTTTACAAAGCTCATAGCTGGCCAATCAAAGCACACCTCGCTTTTTTAGAACGATGAGCTTTGTAAAAATCATCGTGTTTCAGAAAGGCGGGGCATAGAGGAGAAACAATAATGTACAGTATGTGGAAAATAATGTTGTTGGTTTTTTTTTACTTTAAACCGCGTAAACACATTTCATCACACCACATACACAAAATAATGTTTTTTTAGCAACATCATATGACCCCTTTAATGAAACAGTCAAAATAACTATCACACTATCACAAAATAACTATCACTGAATCAGTCAGTTAGTTGGTGACACCTGACTCTTGTGACTAATATTGTTTGGATCAGTTTTTTTGTACTTTGAAATTTGGTACTCTGAAGAATTGAATTGTGGAAACCACAATGTAAGTGTATAAATGGAAATGTAATCTGAATCAGAATCATTCAATTCCTTTTGATTCCCATCCCTAAAAGCTAAAGATTTTTTTTCCATGTCCAAATTAAGCCTGTCCTTGACTTGCTCTTATGCATTTTTTCCCTCTCTTTTTTGCTCATATTCATCCTTCTTATACTGTCACTATTCTTCTCTCTTCTGTTTTTTCTTTCCAACTGTCATCTTCTCCTTTGCTTTCTCTCAATCTCTTTCAAACTCTAGCCTCAGTTGTTGGAGAAGCTTGTTGAGGAGATCCAAAATCTGAAGGCCACAGTTCTCTCTCAGGAGAAACGAATCTGTGACTTAGAGAATGAGCTCTCTAAGTACACTAATGGCACAGTCTGAATAAAGCTAACTCATCCTATGCACACTGCCCAATTCACTGCTAACCCCTCACAACTAAAGTATGAGCACAGATAGGCCAAGCCACCTCAACTCACACCAGCTATTATCGACACCGTAACTCCGGTTCAACTGGCTGTACCGCCAATTGACTTCACAGGCTTTTTCTAAATGTGAATAAATCATACAGTAGTTCCATTTTGGAGAATTAGGAGATTTAATTTGGCAAAGGCACTTATAATGCTCGTCCTGATGCTTTGTAGAAAATTTTTTTATATTGTGTAGTAGTACACACTATTAGCTGTATTCCTTAAATGCTTAAGGAATAATATCAGGAAGAATTTATGTCAGCTATTCAAAAGGTAGGCAAAACCACCTTCATTTTAGGATTTACAAATCCTTTAATGTACTTACTGCTTTTTAACCTTAAATGCTGTCAAATAATGACAGAAGAAATGTAGCTGCAGCTTTCTGTAGTGCTTAACAGTCTTTGGTAGTCTCTTTGGTAGTCTCTGTGTGAACATACCTCATTTTAAAGACCAGGACTTGGGATCAGATGGTAGCATATGTAGCCCTTATTTGGTCAGCTCTGGACAAGCAACATCTATAGCATGACTATGATATGTCAGGACAGTAGTGAGCTCAGTAATGCCGCCAATACACTACACAATTTTCATCGGATCATCGGATTGCTGTTCTTTTCACACTACACTAACTTTTTTGGGTATCACGAAGTTGCTGTGGTTTACACATAACAACGGATCGGTGACTGTGGGTCACACATCACACAATTTCACTAGGAAGAATCCACAACAACTCTGTCTCGTTTACAAAACGCATTCACGAGAAGTGATACAAGGAATGACATAAGATCATGTATGAACGGAATTCTGGCATGGGACTGCAATTCCTTCAAATCAAAATGGTGATCCACAAGAAGCTTGTGATCTAAAAAAAAAAAAAAGAAAGAAAAATATGGAGAGATTGGTTGAGAAGATGACTTCTCGATATTTCCCTTGCGCTATATCTTGTTCTCTTATTGGCTGTAAGTCGTCGCCAATGTTATTTCCAGTCAAAACACATTTTCCACAAGAAGCTTGTGATCTAAAAAAAAAAAAAAAGAAAGAAAAATATGGAGAGATTGGTTGAGAAGATGACTTCTCGATATTTCCCTTGCGCTATATCTTGTTCTCTTATTGGCTGTAAGTCGTCGCCAATGTTATTTCCAGTCAAAACACATTTCACTCTGCAAGACTCTGAGTTGCAGAGTGAAATGTGTTTTAGCCTGTTAATTACTTCTCGGGCATCAGTGCTTTTCTCAGATTGTGTCTTTCTCCACTATATGACCTCACACTATATGATAGTCACTCACATGAAAGAGCACCGATTTGCCTCAGATTTAAGGCTGATCTGCAGAAAAACTGGGCCTAAAATGTAGTGTAGTGTATACCCAGCTTGAGAGTTCTGCACATCACTTCATGCCATTTTATCGTAAAGGAACGGTTCACCCAAAAATGATATACTCTTGATAAACTCACCCTCATATTGTTCCAAACTATTAAGTTTATTTTTCAGTAAATATGAAAGTTGTTGCTAAATGTCCAAGCTGCTCTTTTCCATACAATGAATGTGAGTGATTACTCGGGCTGTGGAGCTCCAAAAATGACAACAACAACAACAAAAAAAGCACAAAAAAAGTACCATAAAAGTGCACTCATGCACTATATTCCAAATGTTCTGAAGACTTTGGATAACTGTGGGGAACAAGCACAAGATGCATCGTGCCATCAGCGACATGAAAGATTATTAGTTCTTGCAAAACTGTTTTCACGTATTTAAACAACTTTAAATCAAAACATGCACATCATATTTGAGATCTACAGCAGAAGGAATTAAAAATAACTGCTTTTGGTCTGTTCTTCATATAAAACTATATATAGACCACATAGCTTCAGAAGACTTTGCATATGGTGTATGCGTGTATTGGTGTGTGTATTAATATTATATTGTTTTGTTGTTGTTTTCACATTTTTGAAACTTGAAGCTTGACAGCATCAATACACACTTTCATTGCATGAAAAAAAACAGCCTGAACATTCTAGATAAGATTAAAAGAAACGTAGATAAATGAGAACATAATTTTCATCTTTGGGTGAACAATTCCTTAAGGCAGATGCAGGTAGCTCCTGGAAATCTTTATATAAAGATATCAAATGTTAATCTAATGATTTAACATAAAAAGCAAAAGGATGTTTGCATAGACAACATGTCTCTACTTGTCCCTCTTTGTAAAAGTGCTTGCATTATTGACTCTTAAATTGCTACTAATCTCTCATTTTACACACCTCTGCATTTCCAGCTTTGACCAACACAATTAAAACTCATGTAGCTTCTGTTTAACATTTAAAAATGTAAATATTATTTAAAAAAAACATGAAAAAGCAAAATATCAAAACCAAAGACATTGTTTTGTGTTTATGTAGAGGATAATTCGTGAGTATTATGGTTTGAATAAAACTCTTTTTGTACAAAAAAATGTTGCCAGTGTTGCATACATAGTCACTTGCTCATAAAAATGCATGGACACACACGACACATTCACCATGGTTAATTACTCTCTCTGCGACTTGCTAATTTATTTCTAGGCACATAGCAAACAGTGTCTCTGTTCAGTTTTTAGTTATAGGACCGTACAGCTAGCACAGATTTATTATATAAACAACTCCGGAACAAAGGGTACTGTTTGGGTGCAATATCCTCAAGGTCTCTTCCCTATTCAGATGGTGAGCTGTTAATGGTCACTTTTCAATGTGTTCTACCTCTGTAGCACTTGAAGTGGGTTCTGAAGGCAGTAAAGGAAATAATTACTTGAATCTCAGACATCCAAGTGGCAAAACCTCCATTAGTTCCATTAGACTGCTGTCGGACTGCTATTCCTATAGCTAACAACAGACTGTGGATTAAAGTATTGTTAATGATTTCTGAAGGAGGGGGAAGCAGCAATGTTTGCTATGGTAGGGAAGGAGGTGCAAGTCCATTTAGGCTGATGCACTAATGATAGTAGAACAGATCATTTGGCATAAAAAAAAGACTTCAGAGTTTTTCCATTTGCTCACTTGAGAAAACCATTGTCCACCAACCTCAGTGTTAAGGTAGGTTCCTTGTGCCCTTGGTTAGACCTATAGGTTACAAATTTGAGAGCAATGTGGGACTTATTCCTCTGCCTGCTACCTTCTCTGCTGCTGGTTCTGGTTATGATATTGCATCAATGGAACTGGATCTGTCGTCTTGAAGACAGTACTGTTCAGCAGTTGAGTCACTGTATGTGGATTATGGCCTGTAGACTCTTGAAACTGCCATGCTTTACAATATCAGAATCCACAGAAGAATGCCAGGCAGAAGTCATACTGATCTGTAAACCCACAGCCCTTGCCAGCCACCTGAAGAAACATTGCTATACTTTGGCCCAGCCTCCGCTGGCACGATGGCCTCAGGCTGACCCTCATTTTCAGATAATTACCAATCTCATGTGGCCCACAAAGGAAGGTGCTGAACTGCAAGGAGGAGTCCGCTTTACATGGGATAACCTTCTCCTAAAGGATGGGGGTATTGTGGCTCTGGATTGGGCTGTGAGTCTGACGGACCAACAAGCTCAGGCCAAAAGGGATCATCATCCTGGAGGAAGATTTCTGTGCCATCGCTCTAGTAATCCTGCTATTGTTGTTATAATTCCCAACACCCTAGGCAGAGTAACACCACACTTGCTCAGGTTGTGCTACCAGACTTTGCAACAGGGTTTCTATCCAGTGGTTTTCCATCGACGTGGTCATGGTGGCTGCCCATTGACTACACACTACCAGAAGTTTGGAAATGCTTCTGACCTTGTGCAAGCAGTAGCATACTTGCGGAGTCATCATCCAACCTCAACTTTGCTTGCAGTAAGTGAGGGCTCTGGATCAGGGTTACTGCCGTCCTATCTGGGGGAATGTGGCTCTTCATCCTACCTGACGCATACCTACGCTGCTTGCATCTCTCCTGTGTTTCATGGACAACTGTGGTTTGAGTATGAGCTACCTTGGCTCTATCACTGGATAGCCCGCATGTACCGCAAGTTTCAAATAAACAGGTAGCAAATTACTCACACATTAGACTGATCTATGCTAAAATGGTATGGACTGCAGAATCTACTGCTGCATAAGTACAGGTTAAAGCAGGGGTGTCCAAACTCAGTTCTGGAGGGCCGGTGTCCTGCAGAGTTTAGCTCTAACTTGCCTCAGCACACCTGCCTGGAAGTTTCTAGTATGCCTACTAAGACCTTGATTAGATGGTACAGGTGTGTATATTTGGGGTTGGAATATGGATAGTTATCTTACAAAAATGCATGGATTCGCTATAGGAGGCCTTTATTCACCCCCCGGAGCCATGTGAGGGACGTTTTAATACGGCTGCACGCACTTTATTTCACGTCTTCTGAACTGTTGACAACCAACACCCGCTTACCCCCATTGAAAGGCTTGGAGGGGACAGGATTTTTAATATTCCAAACTCCGATTGGATTCGTCTGAAAGAAGAAAGTCACATACACCTAAGATGCTTTGAGGGTGAGTAAAACACAGGCTAATTTTCATTTCTGGATGAACTAACCCTTTAAGCAAGTCTGTGTTCATTTATGTGAGTAACAATCACTACGTGTAATTTTTTAAAGACAGGACCTGGAAGTGCCAATGAACTGCTGAGGCCTGAGAGATATTTAGCAGGCTAAATTGAGTTGCATACTGAATAGTCATCATTATAGCGTTCCACCAATAACCGATAACCAAATTTTCATTTTTGGGTGAACTGAATCTTGTGAATAGGATAGTACAAGAACTGCATCCCAAGTTAGGGCATTGCAAGATGCCACAGTGCAAAACTACCACATGAAAAAGGCAACTAGGATTTAAAAGCTCTTTGAATTTAAACATTTGACCCTTTCCACAGGTACGCCACTGCTTTGAGCTCTGTGATGGATTTAGCAAAAATTTTACACTGCAACTCCTTGAGAGATATGGAAGAGCTCATGTTCTGTGCTCCTAAGCAGTCGGATCACAGAATGTCAGACTCGGTGGCCAATGTTGGAAAGGACAGTTCCAAGATTATCAATGAAGCCTGACTGGCCAACTTACTGGGAGAGGAATGAACCTTTGCGAGATGCAAACGAAGTGGCAGTGCCAGTGCTCTGTTTGTGTAGCCAAGATGATCCTCTTCTTCCACCACTCTCCACTGTACCTGAGGCACTTTTTCATAATAGCCCTTACTTCCTGCTGGCTGTGACGGAACAGGGAGGACACTGCGGCTTTATGCAGGATGGTCATGGAGGTACTACTTCCTGGAGTCATTCTGTGGTGCTGGAATACTTTAGGGTAGTTGCCAATTTCTTCAGGGTGGAGGAGAAGAAAGGCTTCAAAGATGTTTTTGAACACTATGGCAGCCAGAGTCTGAGGCATAGCACTAGTGCTGTGCTGTCCAGAAGAAGAACAAACTTGCTCCGGAAAGAAAGGCCCATCTTAGGTTCACGAAGACGGCAAATCTCAACTCCCTCTGATACATTCACATTTTAAGAGGAGCAGGAGGATTTTACTTGGAATAGATCCTATACACGCTGAGTGAGAGAAGCAGGCGGTATTATAAGATCATAGCAGATTGGTAGTGCTAAACTTCCTACAAAAAGGCACAGTACAGGTTTACAGGGATAGTTCACCCAAAAATGAAAATTCTGTCATTAATTACTCACCCTCATAACATTCCAAACTGACACGGAAGAAAATAAACTGTTG